TGGGTAGGGATTGGACTTCAATGGGGTATAATTCCATAGAGTCCATTTTCTCCAGGTGAATTGATTTATGTTGCCTGGAGATCACTTGTAATCCCAGGAGATCTCCAGCTAGCACCTTGTTGGCAACTGTATGTGATAAAATATTTAGAAAACTTCAATTATCTCTGTACCAGTTAAAAGAATGGAATTAATACTACAGAGACTTGGTGTTTGGAATAAGTCTTTCTTTCTATTTGCGAGGATCTACCAGACACAAAACATAAGATTCCTGTAGAAACAGGAGAAAAATAATTCATTTGTTTCAGGGCACTGCTGGTTGGAAGCGGCAAACTACCACCATGACCTTTCTACTCCAAGGACCTTAAAAGATATTGAGGCAACTCTCTGAACCAGCCAGAGTTTCAGCATTCATCTCATCAATAGTCACCAACACCTGAACATACCTGCTGGCCTTTTCGAGTGGCAGTTCAGGCTGGAGAGAAAAAGGGTTGAGCAACACGTGCCCTGAAACTCTGCTTTTGGTTTCAGTTTTTCTCACGTTATAGTGATTGCAGCTCAAGACAAGACCACGCAACTTCTAATCACTCCAAACTAACTCCAGAAGTAAACTGCTATTGTTAGACAGTTGTGCTTTGCTACTGTATTCCTGCGGCGTGATAAATGTCCTTGAACGGCCTGCTGTAGAGCTAGTATGGGGATGTTGTTATAGTGGCACGTAGCTTCCTATTTTTAAACTCTTGGTATCAATCTCCACCCTAAAAGAATGGGGCAGGCAAATAAAAAAATGACAACACGCCTCACGGAACGAGACCGTCGCTCTTCTATATATTCCCATTTAAAGGATGAACACTGACGAAGGCACTTTCGTTATACAGAATGGCAACAAAGCCAACGTCTTTGCACCAGGATTCACAGCAGCTGGAGACAGAGAGCATGAAATAATTCATGGTATTGCTTAAGATTAAAAACTCATGTGATGGACTCGTCCAGGCCCTGATCCACTTACCTTTGCCTCCCTACCCCCACCCCAACATTCATTTCTCTTTAAGGTTCCCATTTGCCTGCTTAGATGGGTGACCTACAACCAATCGCAGCCCTTGCTTGCCAACGTTCAGCTGATCTATGGTCAGAAACTGGGGCCACGGGGGGGGGGGGGGGGAGGGTTGATCGTCCTGGGAAGAAAAATTAAGAAGAAGAAAAGGCTTTGTCTAGTTACAGGAAGTTCTAACCATAGAGTTCCTGACAGTTCCTAGAGCTACCCAGAAGGGATAAGAGCCGCTCTTGCAACCCGTCATTTTTGTGTAGCTCTAGGAATTGCCAAGAACTCTGTGGTCAAAACTTCCAGTAAGTAGCCACGGTCTTGTTTTTCTTTCTCCAGGGACACTGCCCCACGAACCTCCTGCCAGCTGTCAGGTACTGCCTGACATCCTATTTCCCGTCCCCACTAGGGTTGGCAGGTCTTCCCTGGCCGCCGGTGAGGGATGGAGGGGCAGGATTGCCAGATCAAGGTTGGGAAACTCCTGGAGGTTTGGGGATGGAGCCTGGGGAGGACAGGGACCTCAGTGGGGCACCATGCCATAGAGTCCACCCTCCAAAGCAACCATTGTCTCCAGGGGAACTGATCTCTGTAAGTCTGGAGATGAGCTGTACTTCCAGGGGATCTCCAGGTCCCACCTGGAGGCTGGCATCCCTGTTTCCCCACCTCCAACACACCGCCCTTCCGACTCTCAGACAGCTCATTAACTAACAGGGCAGTGATGAGAACCGTGAACTAAAAAACTGGGACATCCAGGTTCTGATCCCCACACTGCCATGGAGGTCACTGGAAATACTGGGTCAGTGATGAACTCTTGGCCCAGCCTACCCCACAGGGCTGTTGTGTAACCCATATGGATAAGGGAGAACCAGGTACACTTCTCTAAGCTCCTTCGAACAAGGCTGGGATTAAAATGTATTAAGCTAAGAGAGCTAAAACGCACATTCCTTCTCATGTCCAAAGCAATACAGGGAAGCTAGAGGACAGGCCGATCACTGTTAGTACCCCCCTTTGCGCGGCTCTAATGGCAGAGCTACCCCTCTTCTCCCTCCCTTAAATGCTTCTAGGGCTGCCAGCCTCCGAGTGGGATCTGGGGATACCCCAGAACTGCAGCTCACCTCCAGGCTACAGAGAGCAGCTACCCTGGAGGAAAACGGCTGCTTCGGAGGGCACCGTACCCCACTGAGGTCCCTGTCCTCTCCAAGCTCCACCCCCAAACCCCCAGGAGTTTTCCAACCTGGAGATGGGAACTCTACCCCCTCCCATTGGCCCGGGGGATCTGGCAACCCTAAATGCTTTGCATCAGGGAGGAAAAGAAATTGGGGGGAGGTATTCCAGAATATCAATGAAGAGACGGAGCACAGCCTTCCACTGTCTCCCTCAGCTTAAGACAGTGCAACTAGAAAGCCCTGCACAGCTCAGGTAGGAAAATGTGTGTGTGTGGGGGGGGAGCAGAACCTTTTTATGTCCTGAAGTGGGGAGGCCAGTTCTCCAGTGCTTAAAGAGGGTCCAGAAGGGCCCGGGGCTCTGTCCCGTTCTCTGCAATGCGGACTGTGCCCCTTCCCCATGGGAAGGGTTCAGGGCTGCACAGGGTATGCCTAGGCAAATTCCTTCGCATCTCAAGAGAGAAGGTGACCCCCCTGCTCGGCCTCAAGGGTGGAGATGAAGAAGAAGAAGAAGAAGAAGAGATTGGATTTATACCCCGCCCTTCACTACCCGAAGGTGTCTCAGAGCGGCTTACAAACTCCTTTTTCCTTCCCCTCCCCACAACAGACACCCTGTGGGGTAGGTGGGGCTGAGAGAGCTCTTGACAGAAACGGCTCTTTTTCAAGGACAGCTCTTATCAGAACTATGGCTTGCCCAAGGTCATCCAGCCAGGTGCAAGTGGAGGAGTGGGGAATCAAACCCGGTTCTCCCAGATTAGAGTCCGCGCACTTAACCACTACACCAAACTGGCTCTGTCAGGCTGCCGGTTGTTTATTTCCCCTTTTTCCATATGGGAAGAATGACAGCTCCTCATATTCCTGTACACGCATAACACATCAGCTACTTCGCTCAGTCGCTTGGAGGTGAGTCTGACATGCCTCCGGTAGGATGCCAGCCTCCAGGTGGGACCTGGGGTTCACCTGGAATTGCAGCTCAACTCCAGACTGCAGAGATCAGTCCCCCTGGAGAAAACAGATGCTTTGGGAGGTGGGCTCGGATGGCACTGTACCCCACTGAGGTCCCCTGTCCTCCCCAGGGTCCACCTCCAAATCTCCAGGAGTTTCCCAACCTGGATGCGGCAACTCTACCCCACATCCTCCGCTGGCGGCCAGAGGGGACCCAGCAAACCTAGCCCAAGGCCATCAGTGAGTGACGAGTGACAAAGCCCAGTTTTGACTAGTATTAGGTGCTCTAGAGGTTTGGCAATATTGATTTCACAACACTGTTTACCGTTCTTGGCAACACGCTCTCCCCCACTTGCGTACATATTACCCTTGCCCTTCTCAGATGAGCGGGAAGGTTCCAAAACTAAAAACGGTCTCCTTAACATTTCTGCCTTATCAATGAGCGCCCTCTCCGACTTTTCAACAACCACGTATGAGCTGTGACAGAGGGCATACGCGACAGCCCCAAGGAAACACTTCCTGCATGCCATATTTACCTTCGTTACACTTGTTAATGACAAAATTCTTGGCAACGTATTAAGGACTTTGTCTTGCTCTGTACTGAAGCTCATAAATGTCTTTACCAAATTTAAAAAAAAGGAGCAAGAGGCCTCTGGCTCATGGAAGGAAGTGAAATAGTGTGCAAGATCTAACACCTTTTTTAAAAAAATCTTCTCATGAAACCAGCTGTAATAGCAGCAATTAATAGCTGGAACACACTGTAGCTAGCTCAGCGTTCCATGAGAACCCTTTTTTTTAAAGGTTGTTTCTCATCCTAACGTCTCCCTTAATCAGTTTCAGCCTGGTGAGAAAAAGGATTATCCTCAGGAGCAGTGTTCCCTCTAAGCTGAGTTAGTGCGAGCTAGCTCACAGTTTTTTAGCCTCCGGCTCACACATTTTTGTCTTAGCTCAGGAAGGAGGACTCCACAGCAAACTAATGTATGCAGTAGCCAAATCGCTCACTCACAACTTTAATGCCAGTAGCTCAGAAAGTAGAATTTCTGCTCACAAGACTCCACAGCTTAGAGGGAGCACTGCTCAGGAGCATGCTGCTATTCACAATGTTGCATTAATACTCAGTAATTGCACAGTTCTGTAGAGTAACATTATTCATACAGAAAGTTCTGAAGTGTTCTGAAGTTCTGATTTCCAGCAGACTTTATGTCGGCCCTTTAAGACCGCCACCAACACTCGGTATGGTAGAGGGAAGTGAAGACGTAATCGTTTGCACCCAAGACCACCTAGGGAATTCACTGCTCAGTTCAGATACCGACCTGGGACTTCCTGGTTCAAAGTTCACAGTCGTGGCTACCTCTAAGCACCATGTCTCAAAAGCAATAAAAGTGGTGCATCTGTGAGAAAGAAGGGCATCTCTAGGTCCAACACTCTACGACTACAGATTTCACGATCCGAATGCTAGAGCAAAAAAGGTGCACGGATCCCACAGACTGAGAGCAGCCTCCTGTTAATCACAAGATTGCAGCAAAGGTCTCCAGTTTTGCTTCTGTCTTTTTTAAACGCTGGAACCTTCTACTTTACAGTTTTAAGCCATGCAACCATTAATTAGTATACAGTGGGCTCGGTGCACCTAAAACGTCAGCAAATACCTTGAAAGATTTTACTCAGGAAAAGCCTGCCCAGATTAGATCGTCTCCCCTTTAAAAGAAAAAGAAACACTCTCAAAACAGAAGGCACACATGAAATATGAAATTTATCTCTTACAAACAATCACGTATATGAATGGCAGCACCAAGAATAATTAAGAAAATATTCTAAAGGTTCGTGAAGCTAACTGATAAACGTTGAATACTTACTTGACAGTAACTCGGTTGGATAAATCCTGAAGGTCACCGGGATGAAAAAGCTGAGCTTCTTTTAATCCAAGCTTTTCACAGGCTTTCAAAAAAACATTTATATTATCCTGCAGGGGAAAAGAAAAAAGAAAAAGGAAAGGGATTGCTTTAAGGTTTAAGCAAACGTGGGTGAAAGGACTGCAAGCTGGCTCAGCACAAACTCCAAAGTTTCAAAGTCCAGGGTGCAGAGAGAGCAGCGAAAAGACCACTTGTCTTCTGGATCATCAACAGTAATATTTCGTACGGATCCCGTAGACTGAGCAAAGATCTCGGTGACTGACAGCAGGTAGAGAGCAAAAAATGCCCGGCCACTCGGCAGCGATCTCCACTTTGATGTCAGCTCTGCAAACAAACGCCCTCTTTTCCTTTCCTTTTTTTTTTTTTTTAAGTTTCACATGGCAAGCCTCACCTCTCGCATTTAAAAATAACTCTCCGGCGACTGACATTCACCCACCCAGAAATGGTTGGCAACGGGAGGACTAAGGAGGAGGGACTCTTGTTTCTATGATGACAGACTGGCTGTGGAATACGGCACCTGGAATCTGGCTTTGGTTTCTGCGCGAGCTAATGTGAGTCAGGGAGAAAGCAAAGGAAAACACGCAGGGCCAGAGAGAGAGAGAGAGAGAGAGAGAGAGCAGAAACGTATGGTTTTCATTGGGTAAACTAAAAAACACAGGTGTGGCTTTGGCACTGACAGTACACCTGCTAGGAGCCAGCTTGCTCAGTGGGTGGAGTGGGTGCAGAACGCCAAAGGAAGGGGAGTCTGCCGCTCTCCCGCCCCATTTTCTGCTGAACAGATCGTGTTGAAATGACTGTTCTGGTTATCGGTGTCTCGTCCCACGGAAACCGCGAGCAAAATGATTCCCCAGTATACATTCCAAGGCAATCCGATAGAAACAGCATACAAGACCAAACACATCATATGCTACAGTCCTGAACACTTTAACATGTGCTGTTCCAGTAATTTATGGCACCCACCAAAGTATAAGACCACTGACATATGGCAAGGAAGTGTCACAGAATTCGGGGGGGGGGGAATGATTTACTTCTGCTGCTTTTTATTAGCCATCCTTGGTCAAAGGTATACCACCATTTATAAACGTCTGAAGAAAACAGACTTTGCACGCTGACCCACAGTAGTGATGTTGCGGAACTATTAGTCAGGGTTGCCACCAATGCTCCCTCTAAGCTGTGGAGTCCGGTGAGCAAAAATTCTACTTTGTGAGCTACTGGCATTAAAGTTGTGAGCGAGCGATTTGGCTCCTGCATAAATTAGTTTGCTCTGGAGCCCTCCTTCCTGAGCCAAGACAAAAAAATGTGTGAACCGCAGGCTGAAAAACTCTGAGCTAGCGCACACTAACTCAGCTTAGAGGGAACACTGGCTTGTCACCTATTTGTAGTCTGAATGGCTTTTTTTGTGAGTTCCCTCTGCAAGTAAGGAACTTCCTTAGGGAAGGTGTTTTGCTCAGGCACACAAACTATGCCTAGCCAAAAAGGGGGTGGGGCCATTCCTTTAGTTTGATGAAAGGTGTCAAAGCAGCAGCAGAATTTCCTAAAAAATACCTTCACTGAAAAGATCCAAACTAGATGCAATGCAATGCAAAACAGTAAAATACCCAGTAACACCTTTAAGACTAACAAGCTTTATTGTAGCATAGGCTTTCAAGAAACACAGCTCTCTTAATCAGATGCATCTGACCAAGAGAGCTGTGTTTCTTGAAAGCTTATGCTACAATAAAGTTTGCTAGTCTTAAAGGTGCTACTGGGCATTTTAGTGTTTTGCAGCAGCAGACTAACACGGCTAACTCCTCTGGGTCTATAACACAATGCAAGAGAGCCATGATCAGATTCTCTCACCTTATCGTGTTCAATGAGCACGCAAACTGCCCCAACTGCTTAGAAGACTGGAGAAGAGGGTACTGCTGACTAAGGGCCAAAATACACGTGTCACGTGTTGGGGACATGGGTGCCCGACCCAGCACATTGTTACAGGCAGGATGGGTGTAACACACTTCGAAAGCACTGTCCGACTCTTACGCCCTTGCAGAGTCCAGAGAGAAGGGGGGAAGCACAAGACAAATGATTATTGTACTGTATCGACCCACACACTTTAAGGAGGAAACGTTAGTTATAAAAGCCCATGTTTTGAGCCTATGGAGGTAACCATTGTTTACATAAAACCAGCTTAAAATTCTTAGTGGCGTGTGTGTGTGTGTGTGTGTGTGTGTGTGTGTGTGTGTAAACAACACACAGGTATAGTGATTAAATTGGAAGTTAAAGGTGCTGGCTTCTTGTCAATTCCATCTGCGCAGCACTCTTCAAGTCCTTCAGATGTTTGCTTTCCTCATTGTTTAAACACACTGGGTGGGAGTCGTGTGTTCCCCTTACGTAACCGATCTGAATTCCGGAACGCACACCCCAATGACACCTTACGACTCAGCTGGGACCAAAAAAAAAAAAGCACCTCTAGTAGAAATAAAAGTTATGGCACATCTTTAACATTCAACAAGGGAGGTGTGGGGGGTAAAAAGAAGCGTCCAAACTATTCAGAACACTTTGTGTAAGGGGGGGGGGAGACACTCACAAACTTTTCTCCAAGCCAAAGTGAGACTCAGTTCTCCCATTACTTATTTTGGATCCTTTTCCTGCCTTCATCTACATGCTTGCCTTTCCAGTTCATGCACTATGCCAACTGAAGTTATGCAAGCAAAACCAGAATTCTGCTTGACGACTATGAATGGATTAGCATAAATGTATACAAAGAATCTACAAGCCCAAAGCTACCATTGTACATGCATCCGAGGGCTTTTATCATTTATTATGATTACTTCGAGCTGTATTAGGGGTATTAAGGGAATTAAACCAAAATCTGCTAACACTTAAACTTCACTAGCGTTTTAAAGGACTGCCGGTACCAGCAGCCACATAAGTATAACTGAAGGCAGGACTCACCCACCTTTTTCAGCCTGCGGGCACCTTTGGAATTTTTCAAGGTGGAGGAGATGCCAACCCAAAATGGACGCTGTTAAGAGGCGGAGTCAAACCCACTAATGGCTTCCACAAGAAGCAGAGCCAAACATTATTATCTCCCAGAAGAGGAAGGGAGGAAGAAAGAGAAAGGGGAATAGAAAAAACAGAACCCTGAAGGCAGGAGGGCCCACACACTGACTAAGGAAAGCTCGGGCACTCACCACCAGTCCGCCCGATTCTCCAGTGGCTGTGGATCTTATATCCAGATCACTCTTTCTGGCATAAGACTACTTGAGAAATAGTATTCAGCCCTTGACTGGCAAAGAACTTCTTCTGGATTAAAAAAAATACAGCTATCCATAGACCAGACTCAAACTTGCCTTTTGCGAGGAAGGAGACGCTCACAGGGTGGTGGCAGAGAAACTTCAGCATTTCCTAGATGACACATCTGCCCTTGACCCTTCGTCAGCAGGCTTCGAGGCCTTGTTAAAGCACAGAGACTACATAATTTGCTCCAGTCATTTGCTCTAGTGAATGATCTCCACTTAGACATAGACAAGGGCTGTGCCTCCCTTCTACTGCTATTAGATCTTTCATCGTCTTTCAGAACAGTGGCCTCCTCAATATTAGCCAAGTATTCAGAGCAGAAGATGGCATTAAAAAGAAGTATACTGGAGCCACTGAATCCTTGCTTGACAAGCATATGCCCTAGAGCAGGGGTGTCGAACTCATTTGTTATGAGGGCAGGATCTGACATAAATGAGACCTTGTTGGGCTGGGCCATGTGTGTCATAAAATATAATGCCAGGTAGCAGAGATATAAACTTTATAAAGGACACAAACACAAAGGTGTGGTTTTTTTACTTAAAATAAAAACATGCTTAAAACATTAGCACTCTTGCAATATTTTGTTTATTTAACAGTGTCTGGTAACCGACACCTCTTGCTCTGAATTATTGCATCAAAATGTCTGTGCTATTGCAATCTTGAGTATGCTGTTCAGGTGTTTTATCTGTAAGCTGCAAACCTACGATGACGCAGCAGCAGCGGAACTGGAAGAAGAAGCAGAAGACAGCCAGTTCCACTGCGGGCCTTGATAAAAGCCCTCCGGGGGCCTGGTTTGGCCCCCGGGCCGCATGTTTGACACCCCTGCCCTACAGTGTTATTATTTACATTAAAAATGTTAACCAACAAGATTTTTCCTGCCCCTGCCCCAGGGTTGTGCGTTCTGTACTGTTTTTCAATACTGGTGTGAAACCTTTGGAGGAGTCTGTCTATAGCTTTGGAGAAATGAGTCATCAATACACTCATGCTTTTTATCTACGCCCCCAGAGGCTGTTACCTCTGTTCCCAGCCAATGGCTGTCAGCCACGGTCATGTGACTGAGACCAAATTAAAGTTGAATCAAGACAAGACAGAAGTGATGCTGGTCGATAAGGCCACGGCCCTGGAGGGTATACTGGTTCTCCAATTTTAGTGGATTATAATTATCTTTGATTGTATTTAGTTATAGAATTTATACCCCACCTTTCTGCCCTCACCAGGGCCACCAAAGCAGCTAACAGATTAAAAACATACATAATGAAAACAATCTTTAAAAAAAGTAAAGCCAAACAAAAACACAGCATTCAAACAATTAAAACCAATTTAAAATACACATACAATCAATAAAATGCACACAGAAGAGGAGAGGAGAGGAGAGAGAGAGACTGGATTTATACCCCACCCTTCAGAGTCTCAGAGTGACTTACAATCTCCTTCCCTTCCTCTCCCTACAACAGACACCCCGTGAGGTACGTGGGGCTGAGAGAGCTCTTTTGAGGACTGTTCTTGAGAGAACAGCTCTGAGAGAACTTGTGACTGACCCAAAGTCACTCAGCAGCTGCATGTGGAGGAGCGGGGAATCAAACCTGGTTCTCCAGATCAGAGTCCGCCCTTCTTAACCACTACACCAAACATTAAAACGTAGAACAGAAAGGAGTAGAGTTGACAGATGTCAGGTATTGACCTGGACAGTCCGGTATTTTAACTGCCTGTCCAAGAGAAAAACTGGGGGGGAAACACACCAGACATCTAAATGTTTGGTATTTTTTTCAGT